GGGGGGGGGGGGGGGGGGTTTGCCATCCCTAGAAATACCTTATTTTTTATAAAAAAATATTCATTCCTTATTTTTGAAAGTGAAAGTTAGCACATATTTGACAATCATTATTTGAAAATTCTTATTTTCTACATACTCATTTTCAACTGCATATTCACGCAATAAAATATTATGCATGTAATTTCAAAATTTTTCCCCACTTTTTAACTACACTTTCTCCAAAAAATCATTATTCAAAATATTATTTTGACCAAATAATAGCCATCAAACAGGGCTTGATAAGTAGGTGGTGAAAGACATTAGTTTCATTCATTATACAGAACCCTCATTTGGGCTCTATTTTAACGAAAATTTGAGGGAAGTGAGTTTTGCAATACACACACATCATGTGTTTGTATATCAATATGTAAGTTGTGATGTGTAAGTGTCATACCTTATGTTCAATCGATTTAGATTGTCAACAATTTTAATATAATAAATACATTATATATTTTGGCAAAATCTATTATTTAACTGAATTAATTTTTTAATATGTTAAATTAATAAAATTCGAAGATTCAAGTTTTAGTAACTTATTAATTACAAAGAGTCATGATTGTGAAATGCAAATTACATATGACTAAATTTTGAATTATCTGTAATTGTAAGTAATAATGAGACAAGAATATCATTATTACGGTTAGATCATCATGTGTGGCATTTCTCACTTTTGAAGTGAGTAGCTAATCTCACAAGTTAAAATATAGTGACATTGAAACAAACACGTTGATGTTTTGTTAAAGAACAAAACATTGAAAACTCGTTGGAGAGATTCCACATGGATAACCATTTGAGTGCTAGTAGTGATTTTTTAATGTTCGGTAGTGAAATTGGTTCTTTGACTTGAGGTCATCATAGTAACTTATATGGGGGACAATCACACTTTGGCGATGTTGGATATTACTCTGCCAGAGTCGCTAATACAGTATTGTTTGGGCATGTCAGAATTAATAAAGGTTTTGAATGATTGATACAGAATTTGTCACTTAGATAGTAAGAAATTATGATTTACATTTCATTCAATTAAGTTGATAATTAAATATTTGGCCAATGTATACTTATAAGTCGAAAAGAATTTTCAACTTAAATTGACTTAAATGAAGGATATGATCGATAATTGAGATGGGCACACATCCATATCTCGTAATTGATTAGATCATATTGACGAGAGAATTATAATTTCATGGTAAATGAACAAGTTTGTTTTATCATACCACATGACATTTTTCGTTATATGTATTGATCGGACACATTGCTAATGTCAATTTGGGAGACAGATTTGAATTGTCGATAAATTAAACGGAGATATTTTTATTTATTGATTCTGATTAAATCAAAATAATAATTCACATTGTTAAGTATAGTGATCGGGAATCTAATAAATCACATTCAAAAGAAGAAATAGAAGAATGATATTACTAATTAATTAATTGACATGTGTTAGAGACTTTTACAATTAACTAGTCACAGCTAAACGCGTGTTGCACGTTATTTTGAAATACTTTATAAACGTTGTAAAAATTATATTTGAAAATCAGTATATATAAAAAAAATAGTTAAAAAAATAGTTTATGTGAAATGAACTTTTTATAATTCAATTACTTATTTGCATGTATGATAATAATTAATATTAATTTATATATATCATACTATAATTCAATCAATTAATTCTTCAAATTCAGGCATGAACTTTTTTTATATTTTGGGGGCTATTCAATGACTCAAGAAATACTACAATTCAATTATTTATGTATGTACATGTATACTAATTAACGTTTATTTATG